CCTTGAGGGGAGCAGTTTCCGCCACCATGCATTCCCACCATAATGTTCTGCCTCTCCTCAAGTCCAAAGGCAACGGGGCCAAGTGACCACGGGCTGAAACTATGAGCCCAAATAACTCTTTCCTGTTTCTAGGCTGGTATATTTCGGGTACTTGTTACAGTCACAGAGAGCTGACTGACATGTCCAGGCTGTCCCCCACTGAAGGTGGCCCACTCTGCTGCAGCGTTCCAAAAGGCCACCTTTACCACAGTCCTCTGGCTCCACAGGCAGCCATGGGGCTTCCTCTCCTCCTCGGGATCTTTGAAACATCGTTGTCCCAGGCCAGCAGGCCAGGCGCCTCACTCTGTCCATCCCAGATATGCAGCCCATGTGTATGTCTGCACCTGTCTTTGGTGGGTTTTAAATACATATATAAACATCTTTGTTGTTATGGAAAACTCACCTTTATGTACAGTGCAGTCTGTGGACTTGAGTTTATTCAGTGTTATGCAATCATAACCACTGTCTAATTCTAGAACATTCTCAATGTGCCTAAAAAGAAGCCTCAATCCCATTAGCACCTCCCCCTCCCCCATTCTCTGGCCACCACTAATCTCCTTTCTGTCTCCATGGATTTGCCGTATGAATAGGATCAGACAGTATTTGTTCTTTATTGTGTGGCTCCTTTCACGAGTGGCATATGTCAGTACTTTGTTTCTTTTCACGGCTGAAAAATATTCCATTGCATTTTTGCTTATGCATTTTTCAATGGATACCTGGGTTGTTTCACTCTGACAACTAGGTAAAATGCTTCCAGGAATTTGTTTTTTTTGGTAGCAGGGATTGAACTTGGGTCTTTGCACTTGGGAGGCCAGCGGCAGAACCACTGAGCTAAATCCCCCGCCCCTTCCAGGAATGTTTATGTAAATGTTTTTGTTTGAACTGATCTTTTCTCTTCAATCCATACCTAGGAGAGGACTTGCTGGATCATGTGATCACTCACTTTCAGGCCACACCCACGGTGGCCACATCATTTGAGAATCCCACCATCCACACAGGAAGGTTCAGTTTCTCCCTCTCACCAACACTTGTTATTGTCCACATTTTACTTAGCTATTCTAGTGGATGTGAAGTCTGTCCCAACATAGTTCTTGTATGGTGCTTACCAGGTCCCAAGCTCAGGGTTTGGCTTGTGGGGAACATGGTGGAGAATAAGCTACTATCTTTGTCATCAGAGGAATCACAGTTCGGGTTGAAGGGAGAGACACAGTCTTCATTCATAAATGGGTAAGTGTCAAGGCAGTGAATGGGCATCATCAGAGACACTGAAAAGGTAAGATATGGCCCCTATCTAAAAGTCTCTTTTAATGAAAATTATAAGACCACATATAATAATCTACCCAGCCATCTGTCCATTTCCACCCTACTGTTTGTCCATCCACCCACTCATCCATCCACCCAATGATTGACATTCAACCATTAGCAAATCAAAACATCTATTTACCTGTTAACCCACCAATCATCTTCCACCTGCTTATCCTGACATCTTTTCACACAGCCATCTATTCATCTTACCAACCATCTATGAATTACATATCCATCCATTCACCAGCCATTTAGCCCATCAAAGCAGCTATCCACCCATCCAACTTCCCCTCTACCCACCATTTACCTACCCATCCATCCAACCTGTCCATCCAGTCATCTTACATCCATCTGTCTACCAATCAGTCAAACCACTAGTTCACCTGTCTTCGACACCAGAACTAGGACCCAGCTTAGTTAAGCCAGTCTGGGCAACTTGAGCTCACCAAGATGAATGTTCCAGGACTCTGCTCATTTAACACAAGACAGGAAAGATTTCTAAGCCAAGCTCTCTCCTCCCATAGCACAAAGCTTTTGCTCCTAGATTGAAAACTCTTATTCACTGTCCTCTAACCAGTTATAAGCCCAACTGCTTTGGATTGTATTTTGAAATATACATTTCTCACCTTCTTAGAACCAGATACTAGGCCAACTCCATTTTTCCGATTGAAAAAAAAAAAACTGAATGAATGTAACTGTACTGTCTACCTAGAATGTACCACTAAATTCAATTTAAAAATGAGGCTCAGAGAGATGAAATACACTACTTGGGTCACACAGAGAGTGTCTGGGAAACCCAGCCCTGCAGGTCCTTTCTACAACCTTGCAGAAAAGAATGTTTTCAGGGATGCTGCTGCCAGGGACACTGTATTTTTCCGATAAAAAAAAAAAACTGAATGAATGTAACTGTACTGTCTACCTAGAATGTACCACTAAATTCAATTTAAAAATGAGGCTCAGAGAGATGAAATACACTACTTGGGTCACACAGAGAGTGTCTGGGAAACCCAGCCCTGCAGGTCCTTTCTACAACCTTGCAGAAAAGAATGTTTTCAGGGATGCTGCTGCCAGGGACACTGTGCAGGCCTGGTCTCCAGGTACAGAGGCTGAGCTCTAAGTCACCGCGAATAATCACGACTCCTTCCCACCTTTGACTGCCTGGCCAGCATCCATTCTCCTCCTTGTCCCTGCCTGTCCTCAGATCTCAGCCCTGCCTCCGGGCTGTGTGCAGGCTATTCCTTCTCCCTGCACGACCAACCCTGTCCCTTTCCTCAGCCACTCCTGTCACACTCACAGACATAGTCACAGCCAGGTCTCCTCTAAACAGCCTGGGGACCATTCCTTGCACTTGCCCATCTGCTATAATTCTGCTTTGCTGCCTCTGCTGTTTCCACTGGGTGGAAGGTTTCAGAAGCAGGGACTGACTCCCAGCACCCAGGAAGGCACAAAGCAGCACTTGACAAAGCAGCTGGCTAAAGATCCAGCCCCTCTGAAATTGTCCCAGGCCTCTTGCCACCCATACTCTCCACAAAGGCTACTAACTCTCTTCCTGAGGGCCTTCACCCACTGAGCCTTGCACCCTGCATACTCCACGCTTCTGACTGATTCCTGCCCCAGACCTCAGCACTAACCCAACATCAGGCCCAGGTTAAACACAGGTGGGCAATGCTAACATTGGTGTGAACATATGGCACATGTGCCGCAGTGGGCTGTTTGTTATTGAAAGCTCTAAAAGGTTCGCCATCCCTGGAGTGTTGCCCCTTCTCACCTCCTCCATGATGCCTCCCCAGTACTGGGGTTGGTGTCTACTAAGTCCGTGGAGACTGCCTGGTGGCCTTTTCTGAATTGCATGTGTCTGAGAGTGGGATCCTTTGGGAGGTGGGGTCTGTCACATGGCCCCGGGGCTGGCTCCCAGCCTGCCTCAAACGTTGACGGAAGCAATACATGAATGGGTGGCCATGAGAGACCAAGAGGAGCAGAGCCACCAGCTCAGGTGGCAGGCATCTGGTGGGATCTGGTTCCCTGGGACAAAGGCCAGTGCAGGGGGCAAGTGAATAAATCATGAGAGGCCCTGAGCAGGGCCAGGCGGGACAACTGACCTCATTCTGGAAGTCGAGGAGAGGCGGCTGGGTGGTGAGTGGGCTGGGGGCATGGGGAGGGGGCACGGGAGGCCAGAGGGAGTGCCTGGGCACCTCCACCCCTTTCCTTGAGGAGCAAAAGGTTGCCGTTCGGCAGGACCAGGCGGGGGTCGCTGGCAGGAGGCAGGGAGGTGGGGAGCACAAAGGTACCCATGGCTCTGGGTGGGGGCAGGAAGGGGGTGACCTGCCTTTCTGTACAAACAGACTAAAGTGAGAAAGAGGTACAGAGACACTGCAGGGTAGAGACGGAGACAGAGGTGGGGATGAGGGAGATGGGAATGAGTCGGCCATGCTGCAGGGAGATCTAGCTGGGGACCCTGAGCCAGAGCAACGAGGCAGAACATGGGGGAGAAGGAGGTGACAGCCAGCAGGAGGAGCCCCAAGGTGAAGGCTGAAGGGCCACAGTGGGGGAGGGCGGGGAGAATTTCAGGGAGGCCATGTAGGTTGGCAGGGTTGTGCAAGGAACAGTGGGGAAAATAGGGCATTTCGGGGACATAGAGCTCCACTAGGCCGGCGAGGAAGGGTCCTGGAGAACCACACCCACGTCTGCCCACTGAGCCACCTGCCCACAGGACTGGAGACAAAGCAGGCCCAGGAGGAGGTGCCAAGCCCTTGTGTCCATGGCCCTGCCAGCGGGCCCAGCAGAGAGCAGCATCCCCTTGGGGGACCCCAGCCCTTCTGCAGGGGCTCCAGGTCCCAGCCAGGCCCCTGCCAGCCCAGCAGCCAGCCGGCGGGCACTTCTCCAGGAGCTTGAGGCTCAGGTGCAGGCAGCCTATGGGCAGGTAAGGGGGAATGAGGGGACCAACCATGAGGGAACTGCAGGGTCCCCTGTAGGACAGATCAGGGCCAAGGGTATGAGGGGACGAAGAACTCACATGGCTGGAAGGGTCAGTCTGGGGATGAGCAGAGGCCAGAGTAAACCCCTTCACCCCCTCAGTGTTTACTGAGCTTCCACCTACAGCACCCAAAGGCAGCCTCCTTAAGCTCTCTGTGCAAGGGTGCAGGCTGATCCAGGCCGGGGCGCAAAGGGCGAGTGGGCTGGGTGCACTCTGCAAAGGGATCCGGGATCCTGACAGGGGTCTCCTCTCTCAGAGAGGCCTTGGGGAAGGGTCTGCTGTGTTCATCCCCCCGAACTCACTGCTGTTCTGCAGGGACAGAGGCCCAGCCAGCCCTGCACTGTCCCGGAGTGTTCTTACCTCCTCTTGACCTGCTTCTGAAGATACAGAATCTCCCCCAACTGGGAGATTAGTTGCGGGCATGAGGCGAGAAGAGTACAGGAGAGGAGACCCTGAGGAGAAAGCATGGGGAGACTATGCCTACCAAGGGACCTTGGGCTCTAAGTGGCCCCCCTTAACAAGCGGAGATGCTCAGAGATAATCCCTGATTAGGACCCGTTGGCCACTGGGCCCAGGGCCCCCCGCCTGCCCACCCGCCCTCTATCTTCCTCACAAAACCCTGGGAAAATCCCCAGCAGTGCTCCTGTGCTCTCACTGGAAGCTGCTGGGGGCTGGCAGCATCTGCTGTACCAGAACTCCAGGCCTGGCACAGTTCAAGGGCCCATGGGGAACTGTGCCAAGCGGCCCCGGAGCCGGGGGCCCAAGGTAGGAGGCCAAAGGGGGAGCAGTCAAGGACCAGAGATTGGGTGGGCAGAGTCCGCTAGGGCTGGGCTGGAGATGGAGGTAGGCATGGCCTCTGGACGGAGGGGTTGGTTGCTCATTGACCTCAAAGGAGAGTTTTTTCCGGGACACCTCAGACTCAGACCCAGCCTGGTCCTGGCTCACACAGTAGGCTGATCTTCTGTGCTCAGCTGACCAGGCCCTCGCTGTCCATCCCTCCAGGCCCTACTCCCTGTTTCCCAGCCTTGGCTGGGGCAGCGCAGAACTGAAAGCCAGGTCTCACTCAACCCCTGGCTTCCTCAGTGGCCCTGGCCAAGTCTCTCAACCTTTCTGTGCCTCAGTTTGCAAAACTGAGCAGCTAGGGGATAAACCCTACCAGTCTACAGTATTAATGGGTGAGGGTCCTGTACCCCAGGCCCCTTCCTCATGGCCCTGTGCTGGGTTCTAAAGAGCAGAATGGCTGGCGGGGGGGGGCGGCAAAGAGAGGGCTTCAGACCATTCCCCAGCTCATGGCCGGCTCTGCTGCAGGATCCCTGGCAGTGGCCTGGCTCCCCCAGAGGGGGCTCCTGTTGTAGCGCCAGTCCCCGCCCCGAGGAGCAGGGGGGCATCCAGGGCTTCTCGGTGCTTGGCAGCCTGGTGGGGCCGGCCTGCATCTTCCTTCGGCCCAGCATCGCTGCTACCCAGCTCGTATGTACAGCCACCCACCCACCCACAGGCTTTGTCCCTTCACTTTGCCACTCCTTCAACAACAGAGAGTGGTTGGAGGGGAACCTCAGCAGGGCCACACCGTTACAGTGGCGGGTAGAGGAGACAGAGAGCACTGGAGACTTACAGAGACATGGAAGCCACATCTGAGGTTCTGCCAGACCCCCAGATCCACCTCTGGCAAAAGGAGTTCCCTAGAAGAGGGGGCAGGGGGTAGGGAGGTCCTGAGAGCAGCCTGGGCCGGTCACAGGGAAGGGAGTACCTGAGACACCCTGGGCAGAGAACAAGCAGACATGGGCCCTGTGTGAGTGGTGCAGTGGGGCCTGGGTGGTCCGGGGAACTCCTAACCCATCTGTGCCCCCCAGGATCGGGACCTGCGGCCCGAGGAGATTGAAGGTAACGTGTTTGAAAAGAGGCGATTCCCGGAGGGGAGCATAGGGTGGAAGCCATAGGATGAGGGCATCAGTCAGGGGCTTCAGCAGTCTGCAGGAGGAAATAGAGCAAGAAGATTACAGAGGACAGGTTTGAGGCGGCAGACCCTTCCCTCTCCGGCCATGAGCACCTTGGTCTCCTTGTCAGGAGGGTCAAGGGCCTCTTTCATAAGCATCCATCCAATCAACACTTTCCGGGTACCCGCTGTGGGCCTGGCCCTGCACCGAGCACAGGACACACAGCAAACCAGGCCTATCTGGCCCAAGCCCTCTGAGACAGATGGCAGCACATCAACTACAAGTATAAATAGTGCCAAGGGCTCACAAGGAAAAGAGCAAATGGACAAGCAGGGAACAAAAGGACAGGGAAAGGCTCTCTGGAGTGGATGACAGAGTCGAAGAGGAAGGGAAAGCGTTCCAGGGTGCAGCCTCTGTGAGGTCAAGGATTTGCCTGCCTTCCTTCCTACCTTCCTTCCTTCCTACTTTCCTTCCTTCTTCCTTTTTTTATTCACTGCCATGTCCTCTGAGCAGAGGCTAGCACATAACAAATGCTTCTTAAATATTTGTTGAAAGAACAAACAAAAACAGGGCCGGGGATTTAGCTCAGTGGTTCTGCCACCTGCTTTGCAGGTGTAAGGTTCCGAGTTCCATCCCAGAACCAAAAAAGAACAAACAAAAATAGCACTGAAGGGTTAGGGGTATAGTTTAGTAGTAAAGCACTTGCCTAGCATACATGAAGTTCCAGAACACACACACACACACCCCAGCCTGTGCAAATGCCCTGAGTCTTCAAAACAGAAACTAACGTTTAGAAAGGAATTATTGGGCAATTAGACCAAAGGAAGGATGAGCTGGTGCAGGTGGGGATTCCGGGTGTGTAGGCGGACTGATCCTACTCTGCCTGGTAGAGCTGCAGGTCGCCTTCCAGGAGTTTGACCGAGACCGGGACGGCTACATCGGCTACCAGGAGCTGGGTGCCTGCATGCGGACGCTGGGCTACATGCCCACTGAGATGGAGCTCATCGAGATCTCACAGCAAATCAGTATGTCTCAGAACTGCCCCGTCCCTAGTTCTGCAGAGGCCCTGGCCAGGCCCAGGTAGGCTGACAGCCCAGACCCCACGGTGACTACACAGGCTCTCCTCACATCCCAGGGCACAGGGCCTAGGACATTCCCTCAAATCCCACCATCTTCTGTGGGAGGCAGGGTGAGGGCCATGATGCCCCCTTTACAGATGAGGAAAGTGAGTCTCTATGCAGTGAAAGACCTTTGTCTAAGGTCACACAGCATTCAAGCCCACACTTGATCCCAGCCAAACTCTTCAGAAAAATCAAGGAAAGCCCCAGCACATGTTAAAAGAGTGGCTTGTCTTTCATCTTTAGCCAGATCCTTGCCTTGTTTGGAGGGTGATTCCCACCATGAAGCGGGGGAAAGGCCCAAGTATTGATAAGGCAAGGGGAGAGGGCCAGGGAAGAAGGGAGGGCAGTGGGCAGAGGTGGGAGGGCCAGGTGATAGGCTGGGGTCTCCAGCCATTGGACATGACTCCCAGGTGGCGGGAAGGTGGACTTTGAAGACTTCGTGGAGCTGATGGGCCCCAAGCTGCTAGCGGAGACAGCAGACATGATTGGTGTCAGGGAGCTTCGGGATGCCTTCCGGGAGGTGTGCAGGGGCCCAGGCTGGGAGGGTGGGCTGCAGGGAGTAAGGGGCTAAGCTGACGCCTGACCCAGTCAGTGACCCCAAGCCACAACCAACACCATCGCAGTTTGACACCAACAGGGATGGCTGCATCAGTGAGGGAGAGCTTCGGGCAGCCCTCAAGGTCCTGCTGGGGGAGCGTCTCAGCCAGCGGGAGGTGGACGAGATCCTGCAGGACATCGATCTCAATGGAGATGGCCTGGTTGACTTCGAAGGTACTGCCTGCTGCATTTAGCAACACACCCTACAAGGTTCTTACCAGATAAAGGACACAGGGAGGGTTATCTCTGTGTGCCAGACCTTGTGCCAAGCATGCCCATGTCCTCTCCTAGATAATCACTACTGCAAACCCAAGGGAAGAAAGTCAGCTTTCAGGAAAGCTTAGGTTCTTAGCAAAAGGAAATGTATGGAATCCAGATTGGAATTTGGGGCAGCTGAAATGGAACTCAGCTCTTTCTCCACAAAAGAAAAACAAAAGCCAGATATGATAGTGGATGCCTATAATTCCAGCACTGTGGAAGACTGAGGCAGGAGGATCAAAAGTTCAAGCCCAGCCTGAGGCAATGTAGTAATTTAGCAAGACCCTGCCTCAAACTAAAAATTTAAAAAGGGAGTGAGGGGCCGGGGATTTAGCTCAGTGGTTCTGCCACCTGCCTTGCAAGCACAAGGACCCGAATTTGATCCCCAGTACCAAAAAATAAAAATAAAAAAGGGAGTGAGGACGTAGCTCAACAGGAAGGCCCTGGGTTCAATTCCCAGTACCGAACACACACACACACACACACACACACACACACACACACACAGATTAAGTAATAGGAAACTAAGGAAAATTACTATGTAGAAATACATTTCTGGCCCAGGTGTGGTGGTGCATGCCTGTAATCCTCGCACTGGGAAGGCTGAAGCAGGAGGATCACTGCAAATTCAAGGCCAGCCTGCACTACAAAGTGAGACCCTGTCTCAAAAAATGAAAGAAAGAAAGAAAAGAAAGAGGAAACACATTCCCCAAAGTAGACTTCAAGTTGCTCCTGGGCTTCCTTGGGTCAAACCAAAGAGGAAGAGAAGTTTAGTTACAAAAATTGTTTTGTCCAGGCCGGGCATGGTGGCGCACGCCTGTAATCCCAACATTCACACTCGGGAGGCTGAGGCAGGAGGAGCGCTGTGAGTTCGAGACCAGCCTGAACTACATAGTGAGTTCCAGGTCAGTCTCAAATACATAGTGAGATCCTGTCTCAAAAACAATAACAGCAACAAAATTTTTTTTGATTTTTTCCTTAAGACAAAGTTTCCCACTCCTGGTCCTGAGTCCTACTCCCTACCTGATCCAGGGAGTGTCCTTAAAGGCCTTCCCCATAGCCACACTCCTGCTCACCTTACAGTAAGCAGATTGGCCTCACCTCTGGTGGGACAGGAGATTAGACTCAAAACTTTGGTTTCTGTCCTGACAGAATTTGTGCGAATGATGTCTCGCTGAAACTGTATAGAAGCTGGAGGCAGCGGACAGGACAGGCAAACCACAGCCTCTTAAAACTAAGTGTGTTCCCTAAAGCCCATCCTGTACATCCGGAATCCTCCTCCATCCCTGCCTGCCTCAACCCTTACCCTATCTCTGTTTCTGTGACAATAAAGTATCATCAAGCCTGGGAAGATGGATTTTGCCTCTCACTTACATATCTTGGAGGTCCCAAGAGCCAAGCCCAGGGATGCCCCTGACACCAAAAGCCGTAAGCTCAGCTGTGAGCTCCCGGTGGATGGGAACCCTCTTGTTTTCCTCTCTGGATCCTGGACTCAGCTCAGAGCCAGTGTCAGGAGACACATCTGGATGGATAAACCCAACCTGCTTTTGGAGCCCAGTTGTGTTTTCTGCTTCATGTTCCCACCCCTCACCCTAATAAAGTCCCCTGCCCACTCAAGGGTTGCATTAAAGATGGAGGAAATGCCCAGGGCAGGAGGCTTTTCCCAGCCTGATCACATTACTGCTGCAGCCACCTGGTGGGGACCAATTCAGAGCTCCCTTCCAGAACTCAGCTTCGTGGCGCGTGGTGGCGCACGCCTGTAATCCCAGCACTCGGGAGGCTGAGGCAGGAGGATCTCTGTGAGTTCAAGACCAGCCTGGGCTACATAGTGAATTCCAGGTCAGTCTCAACTACATAGTAAGACCCTGTCTCAAAAAAACAAACAAAACAAACAAACAAACAGAACTCAGCTTCAAGGAGTAAATTAGTTTGGGGAATGGCTGGGCTGGGGGCTCACACCTCACTCCACTTGGGAGGCCCCAGCTGCCAACCAAACACAACTAGGGAACCAGGACCTCGCGAATAGCTGCCTAATACAAGACTCCTCTACTGAGAAGTCATTGCCCTGAGCGACCTTTTAGGTGAGCCAAAGCATGATTGGACCTGTTGGAAATCAGAGGTTCTTCTACTCTTCTTGTTCCCCTACTTACCTTTGGATCTCTCCTGGGGGATCCAAATACACACTTCCTCACTCTGAGCCTGTCCCAGGCTTTATAGTCCTACCTTCCATGTGGAGGAACCTAAGAGATAGCATGTCTTAGTCCATGCCTGCAGCTATAACAAAACAACTTAGACTGTGTCAACTCTAAACAGCATGAATTTTTAGCATTTACTCTTCTAGAGGCCAGAAAGTCAAAGATCAAAGCACAGGCAACCTCTGTCTGGTGAGGGCCTGGTCACTGCTTACAAGATGGTATCAACCCTACATCCTGACAGGAGGGCAGAAAGGGCAAAACTGCCTACCTAGTCCCCTCCAGGCATTTTATAAGGCTCTAATCCGAAGAGTCCTCATGGCCTAATCACCTCTTAAAGTCCAAGCTCTGTTACCTTTGGAATCTAGTTTCAACATGAATTTTATAGTGGGGTTTTGTTTTGTTTTGTTTTGTTTTTTTGTACCAGGGATCGAACTCGGGTCCTTGTGCTTGCGAGGCAGGCGGTGGAACCGCTGAGCTAAATCCTCAGCTCAACATGAATTTTGGAGGGAACACAAACATACAAACCATAGCACCAAGTCGAAGTGACTTAGCAGAGTTCAAGTAGTCCTGTTGCCTTCTCTCCACAAGCCACTGTGTCGTTCTTTCTAAAATGCTACTTATGCTTTGTTGTATCCTATTTAGGACCTGGCTGTGAACTCCCAATGCCCCTAGGTTAATCAGGGGCTTTTGCCAGGACCAGGAGCTCCCGGAGGATAAGGGATTGGAATAAAGTCACACATCATGAAGAAAGATGGGACTTGCACCCAGATCCCATCCAGGAACTCTACATCCACAGTGCTAACTGGGGAGGAAGTCCTGGGTGGGCCTAGGACAGTACTCAGCCTCTTCCAGCAACAGAAGGACCTAGTCTGCTGCTCCTGCCTGCTGGGAGGGAGGACCAGCCCTGAGCTTCCTAGTCAGGAAGAATTGGGAGCTGTTGCTCAGAGCAAGGAGACAGAGCAGGCAGGCAGCCACCAGCACCCTGTTCAACCTGCAGTCTGGATGCTGAGGTGCCAGGCCTGGCTGTAGCAGCCCCAACTCCACTTGCCTGGCAGATCCCAATTAATCCCTAATCCTCAATTAGGTGTTCACTGCTGCCAAGCTGCCAAACTGGCAGCCTGGGGATGGGGATGAGTTACCCCAGCCCAGCGACTTCTCAGGGAATCTCACAGCTGGCACAGACAGCATCGCTGCCTGAGAAAATGTCACTGCAGGGGCTTGGGGTGTGGAAAGATGGACATGAGCCGGGGGAACCAGAACTCCTCAGCCTCTTATCCTTCTCCAGACCACAACCCAGCAGGTTCCATGGTTGGGGCTGTGGAGGGAACTTGGGAGGGCACAGAATGTCTGGTGGGGCTGGGTGTGGTGGTACAACACCTGTAATCCCAGCATTCAGGAGGCTGAGGCAGGCGGATCACTATGAGTTTGAGGTAAGCCTGGGCTACTTAGTGAGTTCAAGGCCAGCCTGAGGTACATGCAACCGTGTCTCAAAAACTAAATAAATAAAAAATAAAAAGAATGTCTGCTGGGCCAAAAGTGCCCACAGTCCCTCAAACTTCATACATGCCCCTAGCCCAAAGGTCCTAGTAGACAAGAGCTAAAGCAGGGGTCAAGGCCAGACAAGGGACAGCAGGCGGGCTGAGGTCACAGTGAGCCCAGAGCCCATTCCCAGCTAAAGGGCATCTGCTGTCAAGCTCCACTGATGACTGACAGGGCAGGCCTGAGCTACTAGCACTGCCAGTTTTCCCAACCCTGTATGTTCAGTTACATTACATCCACTGTACATATTTTGAATGCAACTTGCATCAGGTAGGTATGAAGCGTATAGCTTAATGGGGTTTTTATATGTATATGTACCTAGCTAACTGTCACCAGGTTGAATATTACGTCCACTTATTTTAGAATAGTTTTAAGCCTACAGAATTATTGTGAAGATAATACAATTAGTCTCTGTATACTCTATACCCAGCACTCCCCATCTATTAAGGTTCTCCAGCGAAACAATCAATAGGATACCTACATAGAGATGATAGGTGATAGATAATAGATCGATAGATAGATAGATAAAAATACAGATATCTGGGCCAGAGATTTAGCTCAGTGGTTCCACCACCTGCCCTGCAAGTGCAAGGACCTGAATTCAATCTCCAGTACCAAAACAAACAAACAAACAAAAATACAGATATCACACAGGAGAAGATTAAAGGAGGTTGGCTTGTGCGTATGGAAACACAGTAACATAGAAGGAGTATGTTCTGATGTTCCAAAACAGGGTGGGATGACTGTAGTTCACAATAACCTATTATATACTATATGAAGATCTAGAAGAGGGAAGCTTGAAAGGTTTAACCAGCTGCTAAAAAATGACAAAGAGAAAATGTTAAGTACCCTTGTTTGATCAGTGCATACTATATCCATTCATTGAAATATCACACTGGATCACATTAATATGTACAATACATACATGCTAATCAAAATAAAAATAAAATAAAAGGGCCAGGTGTGGTGTCACATGCCTATAATCCCAGCACTTGGGAGGCTGAGGCAGGAGGATCACTGTGAGTTTGAGACCAGTCTGGGCTACATAGTGAGTTCCAGGTCAGTCTCAACTACATAGTGAGACCCTGTCGCAAAAAGCAAAAAAAAAAAGGCTGGTGATTTAGCTCAGTGGTTCCGCCACCTGCCTCGCAAGTGCAAGGACCTGAGTTCAATCCCCAGTACCAAAAACAAAACAAGCAAAATAATAATAATAATAATAATAAAATAAAAGGGTGCAGTAGTGCCTGACTATAATCCCAGCTACAGAGGAGACTGAAGCAGGAGGATCACAAGCTCAAGGCCAGCCTGGGCAACATGGCAAGACTATGTCCCAGAAGAAAATAGTAAATAATAAATAATAAATAAAATAAATAATAAGAAATGGAGATGTAGTTCAATGGTAGAGCACTTGCCTAGTATGCTTAAGGCCCTTAGTTCAATCCCCAGCACCGCATACACACACACACACGCACACACGCACACATACAAAACATAGATACCATCCACTGGCAGCTCTTTCAATTAACTCTTGGATCCCTGTGATGCTCCTTCATCACTGTGTGTAAGCACTTGTTTTAGCACTTTTGTCTACTTTCTGGCACCACCAGATGCTCCAGGCTAATCTTATGCATTTCCTGCCCAGGTCTCCAGAAAGAGCCATTCCTCCAAGGGTCCGTGGTTCATCTTTCTGGAAAATGGTATTCAAAACAAGATCTGGCACTGTACTAGTTGCTTGGTACTAGTAGGAGTGAAGGTGCTAATTGCTCCTAGGCACTCTCAGCTGCTAGAACAAGGAGATACATGTTGTATGCTATGTAGATATGCATTTATAAATAGTTGTGTATATAATCAACTAGATCTATAAATTAAGCCACGCAAGTTCATACTAATTGCTTCAACTCCACTCCACTCTACCTGGATCATTCTCACCTCCCACCTTGCTTATCTGAGAAACCTAACTCCCACCATCCACCTTCCCACGCTGAACAGTTCAAAGTCAATCCATGCTCCATGGGAACACTTTTATCAATGAGACTCCAGGGCTCACTCAGCTGCACTTCTTTTCCTTTTAACTTCACCGTCCATTCAGTTCCAGGTCAGTGCCCCTGCAGTGAAGATCACCTCGTACATTTGTGGTGCGGCTAGGTTCTCTGGTCACACTCTGCCCTCCATCCTGGGATCCACTGACCTCCTAGATGATTCTTCAAATTTACACGCATTAAAGTTTACTCACTCTCCTGATGAAATTCCCTATACTTCACTATTCAGTCTTACCCCAACTCCTGACAACTGGTAATTTTCCCCTTTTCAACCGGGAGTGGTACATGTCTATAATGTCACATTCCAGGTGGCTGAGGCAGGAGGATCACAAGTTTGAGCCCATGGAGTCTTGCATGTTCCCCAAAGGCCTGTATGTTGAAGAGCTAGTCCCCAGCCTGAGGCACTAATGGGAGTGGTGGAAACTTCAGGAGGCAGAGCTTACTGGAAGGGAGTTAATCACTGGGGGATTGACCTTGAAGGGGATATTAGGATCGGGACTTTTCTCTTCCTCTCCCTTTTTTTTGGGGGGGAAAGAGGTTCCCAGCAGCCATAAAGTGAACAGACCTCCTCTAC